GGAACACCACTTGTTACCGGCCGCCAACTGGGTGTGTGAATTAAATGATTCACGCTTGATTTGTTAAGCTAATCTATTTCTGTGTTAAAACTTGCCTACAATGACAAGAGTATTAAATGCTCAGTGTGAAGGATGGTGCAGTATGTTCTAATTTGTAGTAAAGATATTTCTTGAAGTGAATTTCAATACTTCCATAAACTCAGCTGAATGCAAGATTTTGACTTTCAGGACGCTGTTTAAAGATGCCTCAGGAACCCTGGACAAAAATGGACGATTTTCTCCTCTCTTCAGGCAAGACAGTAATAAACTTTCAAATGAAGACATGCTGAAATTGTTAGCAGATTTCAGGAAGTAAGTCTATGTTCCCCACTTTAAAAAACACAAACCAACTAACCACACCCTAATCCTTAAACCACCACCCCTGCAGTGCCCCACCAAATTCATATTTCTGAATTAGCTGCATAACATCTAAGAAATTTCACAGTAGGCTAATTAATAGAAAACATTTTGCAGTATGAGTTATCACCCTATAAAAAGGAGGCAGTAAGGAAAAAAATTACAGAGTAGAAGCAGCATTTTGTTAACTTAATGATTTATCTCCCCCTTTGCTCTTCCCCCAAATTTACCTTGTTACTGTGAATGCTTATCACTGGCCATTTAGATTTAAAAAACTTAATTATTTGCTGCAAAAAGCTTAATTAAAATTAAAAGCTTAATTTTTGCTGCAAATGATAGTCAGTGCATGGCAAACAAAACTTTAACAAAGTTTTTCATTTTGATTTAAAGAAAGGAAAACATCATGCTTTTTCTTAACCTTTTCCACGCTTGTGAATAAAGCCTTACTTTTTTTTTTTTTTTTTTGAGAATTTAAAGGAAAAGAAAACTAAATCTAGGTAAAAAGCAAGACCAGATCAGTCATCTTCCTCCAAACCACCTTTCCTCTCATACTCCTGTTTCAGGATATTAGTTTTACCTCTGTTTCCTATAATCTCTTTTCTCTGGCATCTGATAGTTTTGCATTTAGCCTGACTTTGAGATGTTTTTCCTTCCTATAGACCTGAAAAGATGGCCAAACTTCCTGTTATTTTAGGAAATCTGGATGTTACAATTGATAATGTGTCACCAGATTTTCCAAGTAAGTATTACTAAACACTGTTAAATAGACATTCAGGGTTTTTCTCTTCAGTTTTTTTTATTGGTTTTTATGTATTTTCAGATTATGTTAACTCATCGTACATTCCCATGAAACAGTTTGAAAACAGTACCAAGACACTAATAACGTTTGAAATAGAGGAATTTGTTCCCTGTATACCAAAACACACTCAGCCTTTCACCATCTACAACAATCATCTTTATGTTTATCCAAAGCATTTGAAATATGACAGTCAAAAGTCTTTTGCAAAGGTGAGTATAGGAAGACTGTACATTCTGGTTAAGATTGTTTATGTATTTCTGTGATGATCCTTATGATTAAATGTTTGGGTTTTTGTTTTTAAATACTGCTTTAGGCTAGAAATATTGCAGTATGCATTGAGTTCAAGGATTCTGATGAAGAGGATTCTTTGCCTTTGAAGGTTAGTCTTTTTTGATTTTTGTGACTGATAAAAGAAAACAGTGAACAGTTAGCTGTTACACTTGATTAATATATCTAGTTTGGAATGGCAGGTTTCTGTCCTCCTTTTGTATTTGGCGTAAGAGTAACTTCTAGATGACTTGCTTCTTTTTTGATATAAAAGATTACTAAAGAACCCTCAGAACACTTAATTTCTTTATATCAACAAAAATTCCAAGAATAAACTTGTTGGAAACAAAGATGGCTGGTGCATACTTGATAGGAGGAATTCTTTAAGTTAAAATGGTAAAGCTTTAGATCAACTGCAGAGCCAAGCTCTGTGTGTGTTTATGAGCTACTGCAGTGTATAAGAGGTGCTCGGATGAAAAGAAGTAGAAAAATGTATAGAAATCCTGAGGTAAAATCAGTGTCAGCTCTTCTGCACAGCAGGCCAACTACAGATCGTGTAATCTGGGCAGTCAAGTTAAAGACAAGTTAAAGTATTTCAAATTCTAGGTGAAAAAGATTCTAAGCTGAGAGTGAAAAAGTATCATAGGGGTTTTTTTATCTTTTTTCCTCATTTTTTCCTATTATTAGTGTATCTATGGTAGACCAGGTGGACCTGTATTTACTAGAAGTGCGTTTGCTGCTGTTCTGCATCACCATCAAAATCCAGAGTTTTATGATGAGGTAAGCTACCTTTCTGAGGTAACTTTTATTGGTTTAAGTATTATGTAAGTTTCAAAAATACAAGAAAAGATTTGAGGATTGCAAAGTTTTTGATAATGATTTTCATTTAAATCAGACCCACCCTTTTCATTGTAAATAAATTTTTTAAGTTCTGTGTGTGTGATTTCTTGATCTTGCTTCAAATAACATATAACCTGGAATTACTTTTTAAGTGGGTAGCCAGTAAGGCATTTCACTGCTCTAGCTGAAGACTTCTACAAAGGTTGTGATTCTTTGCCTTTCAGATTAAAATAGAATTGCCCACTCAGTTACATGAAAAGCACCATTTGTTGTTCACCTTCTACCATGTCAGCTGTGATAATTCAAGCAAAGGGAGTACAAAGAAGAAAGATGTTGTTGAAACACAAGGTTTGTATGCTAATGCTTTACTTTCAGTAACTACTGGGGAGATTTTTATGAAGTATACTTATCTGGTAACCTGTGATTTTTGTGATCCATATAATGCTTTCTAATTACGTTATACTGATGGAAAGATTTTAAGTATTTATTTTAATTTAATGTTTCAAATGTTCTTTTAGAATGTCTATCAAATGTATGTTTGGTTTTGGGTTTTTTCCAAACTCAGTGGATTTATTTGCCTTTTTAATTATTTCTAATTGTTTGAGTTCTAATGGTTTGCCCCTTATGGTAACATTTTTCTGGTTTATGAATTACGTATCAGAAATGTACAGTAAGACTTTTGTAAGGGTTTATGTAAAGATTCATAACAACTACAATTCCTTGCCTTTTGCGTTTCGTAGTGGGGTATTCTTGGCTTCCTCTAATAAAAGATGGAAGAGTGGTGACCAATGAGCAACACATCCCAGTGTCAGCAAATCTTCCCTCAGGCTATCTGAGTTATCAGGAAGTGGCAGTTGGAAAGGTAAGTTATATGAAATTGCTCTAATTTTTGGAAAGAAGATGAGGGGAGAAGGTTTGATAAGATTTAAGTCATTTTCTAGTAGAATTTTTTCTTTTATAGTTGAAATGGAGTGCTTTGCAAAAATCAGACAGCTGATGTAGAGGAAACAAACAAACCCAAACAGAAATGGGAGACAAAACTTATGACTAAATTCTGACTCTTGCAAGAATTTGAATCAACCTATCCTAATATAGTTTTTCGTTTAAATTGTTAAGTACTTATTTCTGTTATTATTTAGCTGATGTACTTTGGAAATGTTTAATTTTTTGTAGTAGTAATTAACTAGAAGTTATAGTAATTTTTAAATATATTAAACTATTTTGAGTTTATGAAGATATGCAAATAATCTGAAGTCCTTTACTAAATTTTTTTTAGCATTTCATGCTGTCTCCTTTCAGTAAGTCCTTTATTCCTGAAAAAGTCTTATTCTCACATCTTGATTTTTGTGATCTTTATACTTCACTAGTAAAATTTCTGGTTGTATTTTTCAAAGCAGAAAGCTTGCAAAATTGTAGTAATAAAAATGATACTGAGGAGGATACAAAATATAAAATGTGATAGGGGATTTGACTAAGAGAATGAAATGCAGAGACAAAATTGACTCATTTTGAAGGAAGAGTCCTAAAATCAGCAGCAAGAGGTGCTGCTCTCCTCCTGTTCTACCACCTTTTCTTTTTTTAAACTCTGCTGTAAGCTTTCAAACCATTGTCCCCTTCATATCTTTCATCTTTTCATATTGTAGGTGCATTCTTTATGCCTCTGCTGTTTGTCTCTGATCATGCCCATGGGTAGAAAGTTAGGACCAATATGGCTAGTTGTAGATCTAGCAGTAAAATCTCTCCCTAACTGGTTGTCAGGGTAGACAGCTGAGCATTCCCATTCTCAGTTCTTTGGAAATGGGATGGGAAGGAAGCACTGGCTGCTACCTATGGGTGACCTATGTTAAGGTTTAAACAGTGACAGTATCTCTGAAAATTCTTCTGTTATTCTCAGAAAACTAGTAGATTTTTTCCTCTAGTCAGAAGTTGCTTTGCAGAGTTGTAGGGAAGACATGGAACCTGTGACTTACAGAAAAGCAATTTTGTTAGCCAGTGAGGAAACTACTGTGAGACTTCTAAAAATCATATTAAGCTTCATAAATGCTTTTGGTAATATTGCCTGCATAATTTTCCTTTTTTTATGACTTTATTCATTGCACACATTTCCTCCACCTGTTTTAAAAAAAAAAAAGTGGTGTTTATGGTACTATAAACAAATAGGTTTACTCTAGTATACCACTACCTTATTTTACTTTTCCTCCACATGTCTGCATGCAGCATTCTGGTCCTGAAATTAAATGGGTAGATGGAGGCAAACAGCTGTTGAAGATATCCACTCATCTGGTGTCAACTGTGTATACACAGGTGAGTTATAAAGCAGATTAAGTTATAGAAAGTTCTGGGAATAATGTATATTTGTTTTGTGTATATATATATAGACACACACACAAAATATTTGGGAAGATTCTTAAAGTCAGTATGCTGATGTCTGTCTTTTTTATCTCTTGGACACTCTGTATGGTATCTATCTCTCATATCAGCTGTGAAAACCAGCAGATCTTAAATGGAAGCTATTGAAAATGTGAGCCTTTTCTCTAACATTGTCATCCATCCCGATCTGAATTTTCCTGTTATATGAGAGGTCATAGTTGTCTGAGAACTATATACTGGCATGTCTACAAAGGGATGAGTCCTGTTATAGCTGCTCATAAAATACATATTATGATCAGCTGGCATAACTGACATTAAGTATGCTATTTTTTGCATGTCACTTGGTTTGAAGCAGATATAGGTGGTGTTTTGTGTAACAGGTATTCAAAAATCACTGGAAATTTCTTATGTGGGTTAAAAAATTAACGTTACATGTAGACTAAATTAGTCTTTGGAGTAGTGCACTTCAATTACTTTTGAAAATTGAATCTGTGGACACGTACATGGTTTTTTATATATAAGTATTTTTAATGCGTTCTGCTTTAGATTATAGATAGTATGTCAGATATTGTTTAATTTTCTGTTCTTTTCGACAGGACCAGCATTTGCACAATTTTTTTCAGTACTGTCAGAAAACAGAGTCTGGAGCTCGCGCACTAGGAGCGGATCTTGTAAAGTATCTCAAGGTATAAAATGGCAGTGAATAATAGATTATGTTATTTATTTAAACTTTTGAAAAAGCTAGGAGCATCAGACGTTTTCCACTCACTAAAGCATTTTTATACTGCATATTGGAATGTGCAGTATAAAAAGAACAAAAAGATGCTTCTGGCCCTGGATGAATTTACAATTGCAATATAAGAAGAAACCATGAGTAAATAATGAGACAGTATTGGTCAGCTTTGAGTGATAATTTTGAAACGCTAATGGTTTAGTTTGTCAAAATAATCTAATTGAACTGCACATGAGAATGATAAGGAATGTCGACTCTTAATTTTTCTAAAATTTTGCTTAGGAGGTCATCATTATTATGTCTATAGTTATCTTTCAGAATTAGATCAATAGAATGCATGGTTTCCACAGCAATTTTGTCTTGACCAAGTAGGCCAGATTTTTAATATGAAGCCTGAAATTCAGTCACCTTAAAAATTATGTAATGTATCACAAGTAACTCCTGATTTTCTTAGGCACAACAGAGTTTATTGTCGTAATTGAATACTATCAAGTAATAAAACTGGACTGTCTACTCAGGACATTTGAGAAAGAGCTTAACTGTTGAACGTGGCATGCTTCTGAACTGGACTTGCTTTGTGACCTTGGTTATGTCAAAACCATGGCTCTGAGTCATCTTCCTTGCCCCAAGACTTCTGTGATCAACTTTGGTACAAAACGGGGCACAGTACGTTAACAGCAGGAAGATAGAATAAGTCTGTTTAGAAATAGGGGGGTTTATTATTACCATTTTTTTACTGTCAGACTGGTTTCTCAGCCTTCTGTTTGTCCTTATTATTCTGAAATTTTGCAATCCCAAACCATGCTGGCAAAGCATATAACACTACAACCCTTAGAAGGGATTCTGGCTGTAGTAGCTTCACATCAAAAGGGTAAGGCAAAGAACAAACAGTCTTGTTGCTGAACTTCATCGTCCCCCATGGTTACTTAGAATGAGTCACTAGAGATGCCTCTCACTTGAGTTCCTGCTACTGACATTCTTGTTTTGATATAAGATATAATTTCTCTGTGTTTCTTTCTTAAAGTATGTTTCAAATTCCTTGATAATTTTAGATCTGGAGCCATCCTTATTTCAGTAATCAAGAGTATCAAGAGGCACTACTGGAGTTAGAGACAGCTTATGTGCACAATCCCTCACTGATGCACTTGCAAATCCTCTGTCGTTGTGACATTTTTCAAAATATATGGTCTTTCTGACTGTATATGTGTGGTTTGTGCCCTGAAGAAATCTCTTCAATAGAGATGGGAGAGGAGAAGAACCACTGCCTCAGAGTGTTTTGTCTTGCCTTGAGGCCAAGGGGACTATTCCATCTTTCCCCAAGTAAAGCTTCTGGGAGATTATGATCCTACTGTCTGAGATTTCTGTTTGAAGAAGGGAACATCTTTACCTCTCACTTCCTACTGTTTGTCATTTTCTGGCAAGGCATTTAAAGTTATTGGTATTCAGTTTCTTCCCATGTTCTCTCAAAATACAAACAAAGGAATCATCTGCATTTCTAGAAGTCCCAGTCATAAAAGGCATTTTTCTCATAGGTGCAGTTTTGCCTTCTTGTCCTCTGGTTGTGGTTGTGAGATCAGTTGGGACACTGAATCCTTATCATTGGACTTAACCTCTCTCTTCTTCTCTCCATATAATAAAGATGGTATCTTCTGCGTATCTGTCATCAGGAATTAGAGCTCTTAGAGCTGACCTGTGGCTCATTGAAGCTCTTTAAAATTGTCAGTATAATTTCCATCTTTTTTTTTCAAGAGGTATAGCCTTTCTGCTACTTGAGGTGCCAGAGAAAATGGCAGATATTTTCTGGTTTCAAGAAGGGAAGGATTGTTGCCCATACTGGACCTCAGGGAACTGAATGTCTTTATTAATAAGTTCAAGTGAAAAAACCCGTATTTGCTCTTTCTGGTGCTGTAATATAAAGCAGTTGGTCTGGGAAACAGTCAGATGTTACATGAAAAAAACCATTATTACTAAAATCTTTGCATACATGACAAGTCTGAATCACCACTATTAAAAAATCAGTTTGCAAACCATGGACAGCCTCTGTACCAGGGTCCTGACAGCAATGACTGCTCACATTAAGAGGGATGGAATGACCCTGTACTTTGTGAGCAGTTTATTGATTCTTACCTCAGGAGCTGAAGCTGTGAACAACCCTTAGTCAGTTTCTGACCTGTTTGATTCATCGGGATTCGAAGTACTTTGAGAAATTCCACTGTTTCTTAAGTTTACCAGAGCTCAACTTGAATCCGATATATTCAAAATCTCTTCCAGGGACTAGCATGGCAATTTCAGATTTATCTTGCTACCTGCTGACTGTCAAAACTGCCAGCTGGCTGGAATCAAAGGCTTGATTCTCGATATTCACAACTCTTATTAGTCTGGTGGAACAAGATGATCATCAGATACTAAAGTATCATTTTAGGGAAAGCTCAACAGAACACTTCCTCAGATCACTCCCAAATCACATTGTTTACTTCAGTCATATATTATCACATATACTGTAATATATTTGGGTAGCTTGTTCCTTTGCTTAAACACTTTGTTTATATTTATATTAATTCCACATTAGCAAAATCTTTAGGTTCAGTGACAAGACCATGTCTTGCCAAAATCCCTGGGGCAGACTAATGCAACTGCAGAACCTCTTCATAAATCTTGCTCGTCATCAAACACCAGAACACTCTTATCACATGGTATGCACGCATTCCATGCCACTAGATTAACACATCATATTGACTTTATTGCCTTGTTTCTATCTTCTGTGTTAGCTACAAATTATGGCTATTCTCAGTTCCATGGGGATAAATTCCTGTCTAGCTAGGCCTCACAGGGACTCAAATACTTTTTACTTCTCCTGTGTATTGAGAGCTTGCCTTCTGTGTGTCAGCCTGTATACCAACCTGTGCCAGACTTGGCCAGCCTGAGTCCTAAATGTTCTTTAAAGATCAACATTTCAGTTCTCTGGTAACAGTTTCCTACAGGTAATGTCTGTGCTATAATGGCAATCACACATTTAAATACTTAAGATTTACTTTTCTCCAGTCAGTGTGCTACTGGCAGAGTACCTTGGGTTACCGAACTTGACAAGTGTTCTCCTGTTCTTTCTTCTTTCTGCTCTTGCCCTCCCCAACAGGATTTTGTGTAAGCACCATCTGACACTTCTAATTAAAGGTTTTCTGAGACTGACCTGACTCAAGGCTTTTGTATGCTCTCCTTCATGTTTCATGAGCCTGAACATCACTTAGCATCTCATAAGTTGAGGTATCTGCTTGTAGTTACTTCCATTGCTGCCTGAGATATCAGAGTGCAGCTACTTCTGGCAGTCTAAGTGTAATTGAATACTCAAAGGCACCGGAAGCTGGCTTATGAGTCCACTTCAAAGTCCTACTTAAAACAGCACCTTTACCAAAAACAGTCTGCATCCTGAACAAAAGCATGAGCTGAAGTTCCATTTGCTCTGACATTCAAGGCTTATAGAAAAGATTCTGTAGCATATGACTGCTGCTTCCAAGAAAAATCACAGATCATGTAGGAAGGAAGGCTGTTTTGAGTCCTGAATAGTGTGAATGTGCATACAGGCAAACATTCAAAGACAAGACAGCTACTTAACACTGAATGGAAATGTTTGAAATGTGTTGTCTGTATGTATGTTCAGCAAATACACTCTTTTCTTTGTGAAACTCCCTTTAACTCCAGGGAATTTTGTGGCATAAAACAATGTAGGATGAAATGCCATTCACTGCCTTTTATGTCAGGGTGGTTCTGTCTAGAATATCTTTTGCACGTGATGGAATGCAAAGGCATATCATGAAGTTCGAGTGGTTAGTAATTCACTGTCTCCAATTTCCAGCATTAGGTAGTTAGGGATTTTTAGTTAACTCTGTTTTTTAACATAGTAGTATATTGTTTTGCAGTAACTAGTATAACTAGTGTTGCACTTATCACAGGTAAGCGATTTGTATGTTTTTGTGCAACTTCTGTTTGCTTAATGTCTTCATTGGTGGATGAAATACCAAAGTATACCAGAGTGTCAGTGTCAGCTTGCTGTGGTGTACACAGGTAATCGTTTCATTGAAACATTACCTAGTATGCATTTCAATGGAGAAGCAGAAATAACTACTTCTAAAATCTTTTTATTAAAAAGCTAATTTTTATCCCTAATTTACCATAATTTAGAAAATATTTGCCAAATATTTATGGTGGAAACTATTCCCGATTGCTTTCTGTGCAGCCGTATTTCAGGTGATTAACACCAAACGGTGCAAGCAGTGTGTCTTTTTGGAAAAAGACTTGCAGTAAATGTTATGGTTTCAGAACTTGTGATTTAAATGCCATTGTTTCAAGGGAGTGACAGTGTTACTGCTTTCTTTTAGAGCCTTCATGCTATGGAAGGCCATGTGATGATAGCTTTCCTGCCAACTGTCCTAAACCAGTTGTTTAGAGTTCTCACTAGAGCAACTCAAGAGGAAGTTGCAGTCAATGTGACAAGGTAAAGAAATTTAAGTGCTTCATAGAGTTTAAGTGATGACTGCATTATCACATAAATCTGTAACTGAGTAGCATTTTTGGTATTGCAGTCCTAGCTTTCTTTGTAGGCTTACTTGGTTTCTGTCTTCTGTTTAGGGTTATTATCCATATCGTTGCTCAGTGTCATGAAGAAGGCTTGGATAGCTACCTGAGGTCTTACGTCAAGGTAGGTAAAAGTAAATTAAATGTTTCTTTTTTTTATTATGTCTCGAAAAAGAGTATATTTAAATTTAGTTGCATCTGTTTAATTTCAGTTGTTTCATGTTATGTTCTGGTTTTCCTCCCCAAGTATGCTTATAAAGCTGAACCCTATGTTGCTTCTGAATATAAGACAGTACATGAAGAATTGGCAAAGTCCATGACAACAATTTTAAAGCCATCCGCTGACTTTCTTACAAGCAACAAGCTACTTAAGGTATATACTGAACTACACTTTTTACTGCATGTTCTTATCTGGTCCTAATTGAAGAATAGGAACTAATTGTATTGAAATAGTTGTTGAATGGACATGGCAATTTTACAGCATGTTTTCTTTTCTCTGCAGTATTCATGGTTTTTCTTTGAAGTTCTGATAAAATCAATGGCTCAGCATTTGATTGAAAACTCTAAAGTGAAGGTATGTCAACTTTTGCAAAAAATTGTTATTCTAAAGAGAATTTGTATAGTCTCTTCTTTCTCCAATCACATATTTAATTCTGTGTTATTTCCTAGGCTGGAAGGAGAATGCTAATATTTTAGAACCAGGCATTTTTCTACCAGCTTGGCTTATAATAAGCCATATTTTTCTTAAATTAGTGACAGCTTTTTACTTCTGTGTTAAAACAAGTCTAAGATGATGAGTTTCAAGTATGCAAAGTAGTCCCAGCTGAGTAACATACCAGGCTGATCTGAAATCTTTATCAGTATTTCCACTGTGTATTTAGAACATAACTGAAAATCTGAAGTACATGGGAGAAAAAATAATTGATTGGACAATGATCAGGGAAAAAAGCTTTTGAGTGCTACAGTTAGTACTGTTCTACTGTGGTATGATCAGTAGAGTTTGAGTCCCAGTTCAGCATTTTAAGTGTCTGGACTTTACTATTTCAATAGATGTAATCTTTAAAGAAGTTTTGGATTCATTTTTCACTTAAGAAGCATGTGAACTCCATGTGATAATTGGTCAAATGAATTTTTCATCATTAAATGCTCTCTGAAGTGATACGTTTGTTCAAATCCTAGTAACCACAACTTTCTCTTAGACTGCTAACACAAAATAAAAATGTTTTCCTGTTAATCTTATTGGTTTACTTTTAGAAGAATTAAATCATATCGCCAGACTGACTGTTACCTAGTAGTAAATAAAAAATCTGCCTTAATACAGTATTCAGCTGGACTCATTTTAGCACTAATTACTGATACATAGTTTGCAGAATATCATAACAATAGAGAGGAAGAGCTATGATTTATGGCTTCAAGTTGAACTATGCATTCTACTGAAACAGCAAAGATACCAGGCTTCACCATTGCAGCCTTTGTAAAAATAAAAAAATAAATGATAAAAATAAAAAATATCCTTTTATTTTTTACGATCTGAATTAAATAAGGAGAAAAATCTGTAACATGCATAACTCCCCCATTGCTCTGGAATGCAGGACGAGTTCAGTCATTTTGTGAGGTTCCTCATTTAGTAGCAAGTTGGTTGTGTATTTTAAGCTTACCTTCCCCCAAAATCAGTCTGCCCAGCTATGTTTTGTTCTGAGTTTCAGTTTCTCTCAGTAGATAAAACCTGTAAAGAATATCTAACTTCACCCTGTTTATTTTGCATTTGAAGAGGACCTCAAATTTTTGCATGTAGCATCATGAGGCGCTAGCTGCTATGTTGCATTTTTATATAAGGAAAAGGAGTTGTCTCCATTTAAAATGTCATGAAGAAGAGAGTGATCTCCTTTCTGTTACTAAAAAGAAAGGATGATTTTATTTTAAATTTTTTTAAAAAATAAAATCTCAGCTTTTAATTGGTTCTGGAAATTTTGGAACCTTTAATGGGAGATTTTTTTTTGAAAACAGGTTAGACCATTGTTGTCAGGGAACACATGTTTTGTACAAAACCAACCTGATATACTCTAATATAGGGACAAACTTTTACTGGTATTTGTAGTCTATTTAATCTAGAAATAGGTCTTTAGTTAGTGGGGGGGGAGGTTGAGCATTTACGTAAAGTACTAAAGATTTAAGTATCTTCTGAAGTGTGGAAGAGAACGAGCTTTTATCACTAACTTCTTCGACTGTCTGGAACTGTGACAGCTACCATTTGTTTAGGAGTTTTTAGAATGCAAATATATGCACAAGGGCTTTGCTGTGCATGTTGTGCAGTGCATCCTTTTGCATTTAAGATGTTAAACTCCTTGCTCCTGTTAACTGATCAGCTGTTTGGGAATACCTCAAAATTTCTAGCAAAATGAAAAGATTTACAACTTTATCTACCACTGATCAATATAAATATTGTTAATTCAAACCAAAGTAAGAAAAATATTCAAGTGGATTTATTTCTGTTCTTTGCTTTTTTTCTGTTTCATAGTATCTGTTCAAATAATTTAGGATCTGTAAACTTAAATTTCCATTATTGATTTGATGTTCCTTAAGGGAGTTTGTGCCTCTGTTCACTCTGTGCATAGAGTATTTCTTATTTCACTACACTCTATGTTGAGATTATTATAATAAGGTAAATTAAATGCGTTAATTCAACTGAAATGAACGTATAATCTGATAAAGCAGAAAACACTGATTCTTATTTAAAGCTGGAATTTTCTAGAGAATTCTGGAATTGAATGAAAACTTTGTCATTTAAAAAATGATATTGAAAGAACTGAAAGAACTTTTGTTGGTTTCAGTACTTACTGACAGTACTGGCAGTATTTTTATTACAGTATTAAGCTCTGTGAGAAGATAGGGGTTTTACAGAATGTGCATCTGGGCAAGGTTTTTCAAAACATGGCATGTGTGAAACTTCTATAGCTTGAGGATGTTTTCAATTGGATTTGTTATGTGCTACTCTGAAAAACAACAACATGCTGTTTATGCTTGACTAAACAAAGTGTATATAATTATTCCTGATTTTAACAAACCTACAGAAATCCTCACAAGTTTGGAAACAGTATATTGGTTTTTAAAAAAAACTTCAAATAAACCACTAATTTGCTGTCATGCAAACCCATTTCCTTAATTTAATTATAGCTTCCTTACGATGGGGATTACATTTTTAAATTGAGATCAGATGGTGGATAAAATAAGTACAGTAGAATATCATGTTTTTAAAAGCAGGAATCTGTGTAAACAAACAAACAAATACAATTTACTTTTCACCCAGCCAGTGTCCATGTTTTTAGTTTCCTCTGCCATATAATCTGCATCTCTTGTATACTATGGTATTCCACCATTGGTGAGGATTCACATTACTACTAGTTCTTGACTTTTTTTAAAAAAAAAATTATTATTTCTTTCCCCCACAAGTGCTATACTGACTTTTTAGCTCAGAGTTAATATGTCTTTACTGATCCCTGTAATCCTAATAACAAATTATATTTGGAGAGCACCAGCATGTACATCTGAAGAATAAATTCAATTTAACCAGACTTTCATTTTAGGGAAAACAAAGTTGTTAGAGGAACAGTGTGTCAGTTACAGATGCCTGAGACTGAGTTGATTACATGGTGTTATGGAAATAGTGTGTGAATTGGGGTAGGTATAACCGTTGCTAGTACTCAGACAGACCTCCATCTCTTTGGTGTCTAAGTGACCGAAGTAACTATAAGAGAAGGCACTGATTATTTTCTTTTTTTCAGTAGTTACCACTAGTAGCTGAGACCTAATGGCCTCAGGTTTGCTGTACTTGAAAGACCGAGCAGTTCATTTTGTGATTTTCTATATGCTATAAATTACATGCTGTACAAACTATGGTCTTCTGAGATTAATTTCTAGGGGTTGTTATAAGTAAGCTTAGGATTTTCATTAAAATGTGCCAAAAGATGTAAGCAGGAGACAGTTCAGTGAATGTTTATGTTTCTGAAGCTTTGTCCAGGAATTATGACCTTTCTTTAAGTGGTATTTTACATCAACTTGTTGCATCGAATTTTGATTCTTACATGGTATTATATGATCATATAAATTCTGAAAAAGTCTTGCTCGTTTTAAATAACCTTTCTGTCCTACAAAATTCTTTTAAGTAGGCTAAAAAATTATATAATTTAATTTTAATGAATATTTGCTCTCCCTCTTAACAGCATGATTGTAAACACGCATGTTGTAGAAGATGGGCTGGGAAAATATTGAGCATTGAAAGAGCATGACTGTCTTTCAGAGAAAGTACTAATTGCTAGCTCCATTTTTTTATGATTCCAAGTTGCCAGAAAGAAGTAGATAAACCATTAAAATGTGATCTAAATACTGATGGCACTTTCAACTCTTAGTGATCCCATCTTATTTCAGAAAATAAGGGTGGACAGTGAGTATTTTTATAGATTTAGTAGGTTCTGTAGCCATAAATCTTTCTAAGATTATAAGAGTTCATGCAGAGATTTTCTTATGCAGCACTGAAACTACTGAAATATTGCCATGTTTTTTGTTAGGACTTACAGGTATAGAATGGTGCAGTAATTCTACCTGAAGAAGGAAAAAAAAACCCAAAAAAAAAAACCACACCCCCAAAACGCTAAACTTGATAATGCAAAATACCTGTCTGATTTCTATGGATGTCCCATTTAATAGAGTATTCTGCATGCTAGGTATACTTTTTGTATAGGAACCCCATTCATTTCAGGTTAATATTAATTTTTTTAATAATATCTTCAGAAGTCAATCCCCAAATATGAACTGTTCAATTGTAAAAAGGATACAAATTCCTTGAGATTCCAGTGCTTTGCTGTGTATCATTTTGAACAGCTGTTCTTTCTCATTCTTCCCCTGCAATAACATGAAGTAAGGTTCATAGCTTCTAAACTACTGGAATGACTTTGTATGAGAGGTTTTTGTTGTTGTCTCTACATTCCATGTTAAAAAAGATGTTTCCACTTTTAGAACTAACCTCACTGCATCTTTCCTGTGACATAAAAGAAAAAGGAACAGAACTCACATCTTGTTTGCTTGTATCCTCGTTCCTGAACATCAATTCTTGATTTACTAGCCCCTTAAATATTACATAAATAATTTTGCTAGCTTTTTTCTGTCTTACTAGGTAAAGTAATAAATGGAACATGCATTCAGATATTATGAAATCTGAAAAAAAGATGCATTTCTGGGTGCAGCAAAATTATTTCTATAGAAAGAATTTTGTAGTATTTTTAAAAATATTTGAATACTGTCCAACAAAGACTGAGTTACAAGAATATTGTAGGATACTAACTGGCATACTCACCAACAGAATTTTTAAATTTTGTTAGTTCTTTAATGAGTGCTGTTGATATTTATACAGGGATCTTTTTTACCTTTATCCTTTAAAAATAGAACTAGACATTTTAGAGCACAGTTCAAACACAAGTGGAGCAAATTGTGTAATCATTGATTTCTGCAGGACCTTGACAATGACTTGTTCTGCCTAGGAATGTTGCATTCAATATAGTTCAAAAACTATTTAAATAAAAATGTATTCAGAGCACTTGGATGTTTTGATTTGAGTTTTCAGAAAGAAAAGACATAATGACTGTACAGTTGAAACATTTTTTGTCAACGTCAACTTCTTCAGCCTCACACCACCATTAAATCCCTTCAGACAAAAGACAGAATCTTTGTCAAAAATGATAAGATGTAGAGAAATCATAGAATGGCTTGGTTTGGAAGGGACCTCAAAGATCATCTAGTTCCAACCTCCTTGCCATGGGCAGGGACACACTCCACTAGACCACGTTGCCCAAAGCCCCATCCAACCTGGCCTTGAACACTGCCAGGGAGGGGGCATTCACAGCTTCTCTGGGCAACCTGTTCCAGTGCCTCACCACCCTCACAGGGAAGAATTTCTTTCTAACATCTAATGTAGATCGACCCCCCTTCAGCTTAAGGCCATTCCCCCTTGTCCTATCACTCCATGCCCTTGTAAAGAGTCCCTCTCCAGCTTTCCTGTAGGCCTCCTTTAGGTACTGGCAAGGCTGCTATAAGATCTTCTCTTCTCCAGGCTGAACAATTCCAACTC